ACAATAAAATAGCCTTGGAAGGTAGGTCAGACCCTCCTCCAACACTCAGGGTGGTCTGTAGCTTATTAGTGTATCCCAGCCCAGAGTGTACCAGTCTGGATCCAGTGCATGTAAAAGACAAATGGATTGAAACCAGCCCCAAATCCCCATCCCCCCATACTACTCCACACATGAAGGGCATTCCTAACCTGCGCCCTCCACAGCAGGAAGGACACCCTCCCAAAGGCACCCCACTGCAGCAGCTGCAGTCTGCCGATGCTTGAGGTCTGGGTGGCAAGGCTGTGGCTACCCCAATTCCCCTCCATGCAGCTGTGCGTGGGCCAGTTAGACCTCATCCAGCACTTGCTTCCACCCTGCTTCATGGTTTGCAAAGTCTTTCCCGATGGGTTTGCAGCAATGTGCATTCCCTTCCCTTCACGGTGAGATGCCCCCATCCTCAGAGTCCTGCTGGCAGGAGGGACAGGCAGCTGGGAGCTGCAGGGAGCCTTCTGCCCTGGGATATCCAGGCCCCAGAGACCTTCTCAGGAATGCCAATTAATTCCAAGCGTGGGGAGGGCAGCCTCTTCAGCAATGGCCAGGAAACCTTCCCCCCAGTCACCCATTCCTCATGGGAGCATTGGAGATGGGGGTTGGTCCCCGCTGCACCTCCCTTCTCCCATGAGTTGGGGTTATGCATTAGCCCTCCAGTGCCTTGCAGCAGCTATGGGATAGGGGATTGCCCCGCTCAGTAGCAGATAATAGCCTCTCCCGGGGATGATGGGGTAAGCAGCAGCCCTCTAGAGAAGAGCGGCTGCAAGAGAAAGAGGTAAGCACCCCTTATAAGCCCCAAGACATGGGGTTCCCCCCTCGTGATGGTCCCGTTGCAGTGTAGGGCTTGGGGTGAATGCCCCCCCCAGCCCCGCCTCAAGGTGAAGCAGTCGGTCGCTGACCAGCCACAGCCCCTCGCTCTCCTTAGGAGTCTGGGCTGCCCCCCTGGCGCAGCCGCTGGGCCATGCTGATGAGGGAGCGGAGCTGCACCAGCTTGAGGGGCCCTACCTGCCGGGGGTCCTGGCTCTCCAGCCAGCGTAGGGCGGTCTCCAGGCCCGTGATGGCTTCCCTGGCTGTGGGCAGCAAGGGGCCCCCTCCCTCCCCTTCTTGGTTGCTCTCAACTGCGCCCTCACCTCCCACTGCCACCACCTCTTCCTCCTCCCCCCCACAGCCCCCGGGGCCCTCGTCCGCAGCATCTTCCTCCCCATCGTCCCCCTCCACGCCCAGGGCCGCGTCGTCCAGGTGCAGCCAGTCGGCCACCTCCTCGGGGGCCAGGCGCTTGTAGGCCAGTGCCGCCAAGTGCGTGAGGTCGCTGAAGACCTTGCTGTCCCCGCCGTCCGCCCCCAGCGCCTCACCCTGCTCGTCCTCCCCAGGCCGTGGCTCAAAGGCGGCGCGCAGCCCCAGCAGCCAGCACTTCTCAATGGAGCCCGCAGGGATGAGGTCCCAGGACAGGCCGGCCAAGTACAGCATGTCCTTGAGCAGGAAGGAGTGCATGAAGTCCAGGGGACCGCTCCCCGCTGCCGCACCCCCGCTGCCAGCTGCACAGGACACGGCCAGCCGCAGCAGCTCCCGCTTGTAGAGCTGCTTGAAGGCCAACACCACGCCCTGCTCCAGCGGGGCTGGGATGCGGCCGCTCCCCGCCGGCGCCTTGGAGAGGAAGAGGGCCCGGATGGCGCCGTCGGGTGTCTGCAGCTGCGGTGTGTCCTCGGTGGTGGCGGCAGGCGGGGGGCAGCCAAGCAGCAGCACGGCCTTCTGCTGCAAGCAGCTGCGTCGCAGGTAGCGCTTGACGCCTGGCACGAAGTCCTCGAAGAACCAGGCCCGTAGCAGGGCCGGCCCCAGCCGGGCCTCGGGGCCGTAGCGGTAGCAGGCAGGGAACTTGTCCTGGTTGTGGTGGCGCAGGCTGGGTGGGTCCCGCAGCCCGCCCACCACCAGCGGCTTCAGCTTGTGGGCGCCCGTGAGGTTGGCGGCCAGCAGCACCGTGACGCGGTCCCGCATGGGCGGGCGCCGGGGTGGCCCGGCGCGGCCTGGCAGCAGCTTCCAGTAGAGCCCGGTGACGTTGGCGTTGTAGATCTGCTCGTCCCCGTAGCCGTCCCCAGGCGGCGGAGGTGGCGGGGGCGGTGCTGGCGGGTCCCCGGCGGGCTCAGGCTCGGCCTTGAGCGGCTCGCCACCATAGATGCGCTGGCTGGAGATGCCGTGGCGCTTCTGCCAGCGCCAGAACCAGCCGTGGCTGGCCTTGAAGGTGCACTCGGGGCCGTAGATCTGGCGGGCGAAGGCCTCGGCCTGCGCCTGGATGAGGGGCCCAGAGAGCGGCACACCGTGCTGCCGC